CTATAAAAGGGGGAAAATAATAGAACCTACTTTGTAGTTCTGTTGGGAGCATGAGATGAGTCAGTATGTGTAAAACATTTAGAATGATGCCTGCCCCTGGTATACCACCATTAAGCGTTCCTTACTGTGTTGATCAGTGTATTCAGAACTTGCCGGGGCGAGGTGGATGATGGGTAATGAGCACCCCAGAGACCCACTCCAGGGTCCTGCTCCTCCACTGGGCACCCCCAATGTGGCTCTGGAGCCAGGGCCCTCCCGACACCCTCCTGCCTTGGCTGTGCTTCCCACAAGTGTCCGTTTTATACACATGTGTTGCTTCCCTAGTTTTAAAATAGAGTATTCTCTCTGCTAGAGAAGAAGGGCATGAAGTGGAAATTGAGTGTTTGCCTTCTTCCCTGCATCAGTCACCACTACCCGGCTCCCCCAGGCCAGGGGCTCCCTCCTGCTCACTCACGTTGTCCATTCAAAGAGCGCTAGGGTGGCCCTCTGTTCCTTTCCAGGGACTTCCTCAACTTCTGCTTGCTCTGGCTTTCAGCCTTGGGGAAATCGATCTGGCAGATGTGAGCCCCTGTTTGGTGATTATCTTGGGCCATCGATTGCCCGCTTATCCTTAGTAGGCTTCTTTTGTGAGCCCTCTATCCCCCAACCCTCAAGAACCATTTACTTCCCGATTTCTTCCCTCACTTGGGAAACTTCAGTGACTGCTGTGGGCCGAGTGTCTATGAGAAGGTGGGATAACCACGGCCCCAGAAGGATGTGTAGTCCAGTGGTGCTTAAACCCTACTCCAGGGGGTCCTGTAGGCCCTGTAGAGCACCCCTCCGGGGTCCCCAGGGAGACAGTATGGGTGTGTGTCTGAGCAGTTGAGGTTTTACCCCACTTCTGACTTCATTCCAGAACGGCTCTGGAATCTTTATTTTGCATATAGGGCTTCTGAGTAAGATTTCAGGCAAAGAAAGGATTGTGCTGTTTTTTTTTTTAAAAAGTTTGAAAACCATTGACCTAATTTTTTCCACTGAATATACTCAGCATGGCTTTTTATAGTGGTTTGACCTTCTGGCTTGCATTTGGCCAACAGGATGGCGGAGCTATCTCGCTAATTCATTCGCACCAGTCGCCTGGGGATTCCAACAGGGAGGACCCCTAAAAGTGTCTTCTCAGCTGATGAGGCCACCTTCCTCTTGTGCTCCAGAAAGGCCTTTCATGGCCAAGTCTGATGCTATTTGCAGGAATAAGTAAATAAGGGATTTTGGGGGGAAGGTACTACACATACATTAACTCTAAAGGCAATCTCAAAAGAGTTCAGTTCCAAAAATACTTTAGGCAGTGACAACACTGTTGAAATAAGTTTATGGCCCCTAAAAATGTTCAATGCTCCAAAATAAGCACCCAGAGTCTTTTTGTGGGACTCATAATATCAAACTATAACTTTAAAAAGGGCAGGAGACTGGACTTTGCTTTAACGCTGTGATGTGTTTGTTAAGGCAAAACTAAGATAGTCAAGGTCTGACCAATTGCTCAGTCACTGAGCTATGGAAATGCATCTAATACAACCAGTCAGAAAATCTGGCCCATTCTGTTTTTATAAAGACATTTAAATGAGCCACATATTTGCATGTGCCTAGAACCTTTCTAGAAGATGTTGTAGTATGTAAGCTTCATGCAGAAAGGCTTATTTTTCACTATTTTGTTCATTAATGGGGCTGGAGATGATGACAGGTATGTAATAGATGTCCAAGTAGATACCTGTTGAGTGAATGAATTCACAAGAAAATGGTAAGGTGGTTACCTGTAGGGAGTAGAACTGGAGGTTGGTGGAGCTACTAATTTTCAGTCTATACCCACGTATGGCATCTACATGGTAGGGTGGGAAGAATGTCTGCTTCTCTCCTTGCATTGCACCTTCACCCACTGAGAGGGAGGAACTTCTGCCCTGACTTTCACTGCTGTCCTTTGCCCTGTGACTCCCTCATGCCCCGCCCTCCCCAACCCAAACAAAGAGTAACGTGCAATCTGGCTGGTTGTTCTTGGACTGCATATTCTTCGTGGGCAGGATTCCACTCTTCCTCACTTGTTTCCCATCCCCGTTTCATTACAATCAGGGTCCCCCTGCCAGAAGCAGGCAGGTCACGATCGTAATCTCAGTTTCAGCTTTTCTGCCAGTGTCTTGCTGATGAAGCTGGATAAATGTGGGCACTGGAGTTTGTTCTTGTCTGAGTTTGTTTGGGCTGCTGTAACAGAATCCCATAAACGAAGTGGATTCTACACAATAGAAATTGATTTCTCGCAGTTCTGGAGGCTGGGAAGTCCAAAAGCAAGCCACTGGCAGACTTGGTACCTGCTAAGGGCAAGCTTCCTGGTTCATAAATGGCCATCTTCTGGCTGTAACCTTGCATGGCAGGCAGGACAAAGGAGTCTCTCCTTATAAGGACACAAATCCCATTCACAAGGGCTCTACTGTCATGACCTAATTACTTTCCAAAGGCCCTACCTCCAAACACCTTCACATTGGGGATTAGCTTTCAACATATTAATTTTGAAGGGACTCATTAAGTCTGTGGCATTCCTCAAACTGGGACATTTTAGATTCAAGCAATTCAGGTATGGGAAATCCTGAGTGAGCCAGAACAGCTCAGCAGAGAAGCTCCAATTTTGGGAACACAGCTCCCCTGAGGATTAATAAAAATTATCCTTTGTTTCCTATTTGGCTCTTGTCCTTATATGGATAGTTTCTGCAGAAGAGACCTGTGGGGTGGTGTGTGGTGTCATTCAGGAGACCAGAGCTCATCCCAACTTCATGACACCATAGTGCTTTTGCTTATTTATTTTACCATGTGCATATATTATGTTTGAAATGAGTGTGTGGATCAGAACATAATAGCGAGTGAGGAGTGAGTACAGGGAGAGTGGCTTTTTTCCCTCCACCTACACAACAGAATAATTATTTTTTATAAATTCTGTTGGAGGCAATTTGTTTTTATACACAGCAGCGATAATAATACTTGGCTGGCGGAATGATTTGGCATTAAGAGGCTCTTTGTCTAGGAAAACTGGATCGCAGAATCATTAAATCCTTTGGTTAAAATCAAAATGTAAAGGACCAGAATTGTCACTCACCAACTTTGGAGTCTGAAGCAGAGACTCACAAATTCAGCATGGGTGCAAATAAGGAGTCAGAACCGTATCATGTCTGAAAGAGGATTGTTATGTTGCCACACGTATCTCAGAAAAGTTGCCCCACCAGGCATTGGGTATGGACAAACACTTTTGCCATTCTGAGATGGTTTGTGCCTTGTGCCTACATGAATCAGTGTTGTATTTACAATAGCAACAACCGCTAACATTCACAGAATGCTTACTATGAACTAAATAGAATTCTAATAGGAAGCTTCTACTATGACCCCATTTTACAGATGGGGAAATGAGCACACAGGTAGGCTCCAGTCATACACTACTAAGGGGCAGGGGTGGGCTCAGTGGTGTGCTGAAGTTGGCTCACACGGGCTCCTGACAGCCGACCAGGCACCTCTTCCCAACACCATGTTCGACAACATCATGTTGGCAACATGAAATTGGCCATTTTGGAAGAATTTACACCATAGGAATTGACGAATGCTGCAAATCATGTGGTTATGTTATTTTTTTTCCCCCCAGAAAGCTGCTTGGCAAATATTACTGGCACTATCACTGGTTAGGATTCAAACCCAGGCAGTTTGGCTAGAGATCATTTTGACAAACATGCATGTTTTCAGGCCAAAATATTGACAATAGTATTAAAAATTTCCTTATATGTGCAAGCCACTTTTATTCAGCTATTCCGTTACTTGCAGCCAAATGCACCCTAACTGATTCCTCGCACTTCCTTATAGAGTTGGTTGTGAGGGTTAAGTGAGATGGTGCATTTCTGCTGGTCAGTTCTTTCATGTTAGTGCTACCGCATCTCATAGTGGAGATATGGCCCTAACGTCATTGTAACCATCTACTTCCCATCATTTCTCTACCTTCACAGGAACTACTGAGTGGCACAACTATCTCATCTCATCTCCACTTTTTCTCTCATCCATAGTCTATATTCCAGGGCAAAAGACAGATGAGTTCCAAAGAGAACTCTCCAGGATAATCCAGTTGTGTTAGCCTATAAACCAGTTATGCTACTTCCTAGCTTCATAAAAACAAAAGCTTGAACACTTGCAAACTTTTGGATACCTTAGGATGTTCTCCCACCATGCCCCTCTAGGGCTTCTGAGGACGAGGTCCGGATCATGCCAGGTGAGCCTGAATTGTGACCAGCAGGGCATCTGTAGGACATGACAACACTTAGCAAACCCCAAATCCCAAGAGGTGACACTATCATTTGACTTAGGTGCTAAGGACTTTAGGTAGAAAATAATGATCCCTCCTCACCAGGAAGGAGCTGTTCCTCTTTGTGGGTGGTCAAAACACAAGAGAAACATCAAGATCCATGAGAAAAAGAACAACTTATTAATACAATGGCTGAGTGATAACTCCATGTCAGGCATTTTCATCATGTTCCTAAACCTTTCCATGCATTGTTTTATCTCACTATCCCAGCAACTTCCAATGGACAGCAATTGTTTCCATTTCTGAGAAGAGGAAATGACGATTTAGAGAAGTCGAATAGCTGGCTTGAGAGCATTTATGTGACAGGTGGTTGAGGGGATTGGGAGTCTGCGATGCCTCCCAGACAGTCTGACCCCAGCGTTCCTGTCCCCAGGGAGGACACCACACTGCTGAGGAGTCCCATTGAGGGGAAGAGGTTACAGGGGTTGCCCTTGGGCTTCCAGGCTCTGAGACCACGATCAGACAAGAACCTCTATCAAAGCACTCTCCTTGGACTGTGTTGCCTGTGACCTTCACTGACCATGAGCCCCAATAACTTATCGCTGTGGCTTTGGGTCACTTAATACAACCAGCCTGGAATACATTCAACATTCTCGTGTGTCTACCACCTTCCCTGCTACCTGCCTCTAAACCTGATGGTCCAGTTGTATTCTGGCCCTCTGTCTTGAATGCAGCCAACCTGTATACCCTATGCCAGTCTACCCTAGGTAGCTGTCCGAAGACACCACCTCTCCTTGTCTGAACTACCAACTCCATTTCTCAAGACACATGGTAACAACATACCCTGATGGAAGAACTAGGGGGTTGTGTGTTTAAAGAGAAAGAAGTTTGAACCATTTTATTGGAGAACACACATCAAGATTGAACAATGCTTAATTATATGGCATCCATATATATAAGGACAGTATACATTCTTATAATTTGAACAGTCACTTTATTAAACAAATAAAATAAATCCATTTTATAACAGTGGGCATGATCCGTTAAAGTATATATTTTCAATAATTTACTCATCTGCTTAGTAATATGTACATTCATTTTCTTTAAGAAGAAACCCCATAAAACCAACATGATTGTTCACCACATCACATCATGAACAAATGGACCTGTAAAAATTGGCACGTAGAAAATTCAGAAACACTTAAACAGCACATTCCAAGGATACTGAATCCACTTAAAAGGAACTAAATGCTTTGAAGCCATTGCAGTCAGCCTGGGTGCCGTATATATGCATCAAGACAATACGCCGCAGCAAATTCAAGTATAACAATTCACACACATAACATGTTAACCTGACATAGGGGAGAATGCTCCCTTGTATAGCACTAAGCGCACACCAAACTCTCAGCATGACTCTGATTAAACTTTTTTTTTGGTAACATGGAAGGAAAGGTAATGAGATTGTCAACTTCCTTGACCAAATCCCAAACCTGGAGAAGGTGGGCGTGGTCCACAAACACTGCACAGCGGGAAAGTGTACCTTATGGGGATATTATTCGTCACAGCAGTTGCAAAGGTTGTAGGAAAACCACAGCAGCTCACATCAGCCAGGCAGCCTGCATTTGCTCGTCTGGCAACGTGGCAATGCCGTGTTTGTATTTTGAGCAGACAAGCAGAAAAGCTGCAGCAAGCTGGGAAATGTCACCTGGGTTCATGGTTAAATGGCATCAGCTTTATTTACTAAAAATATAATTTTAACTTCACAGGCAAAATGAACCTCCAGATTTGTTTCCCTTCGCCCCAGCAAGTCAAGTCCTTCCTAATTGCTAGTTGATTGCAAAAGCGCAGCTCAAGTCCTTCCCTTTTGCTTCCATCCCCACCATCCCCCCACCAACTCTGCGTTGGGTTTGTAATACACTATCAGGAGCTCTTCGCTGAATGTGCCTTCAAGTGGCATACGATGCCTGCCCTTTGGTGATGCAATAGCCAGCCTTAAAGGTACTGTAGTGGTTCAGTTATTTTCTGCATTTTTTGGTAGGAAAAACTCTTTCTTTTGAAACATACTGCACAACGTTTTCTTGCTAAAAACAATTCCTCAGTTTGTAAGGACACTGGCTTGCCTGGTATGAGATTTGCTTGTTTAGACGTCCAAAGCATTTGGTTCTGCTTACAGATTAGCTACCCCAAGCCCAAGAAAATATTTGTTTGTATGAAGAGAAAGAAATAGACCTTCCTCTTCTTTTTTTTCCCTGTTCAACCATCCCACTGTAATGCCGTGCTAAGCCTTCAGAACAAAGAGGACCAGACAGCTGGGAAACCAAGGCCTTGTGATTTGCAGCCAAGCCAAACATGGCAGCTCTGTCGGGAAAGCCCCTGGATTAACCATGGACGGGCTCTCCCGGTGAGTGAGTTCTTCCTTGGCTTAAAAAGAGAATCAGAATAAAAGCAGATGTGTGGTTTGCCTGAGGCGGGGCAGGGGGGACTTGAGGAGTGGGTGTTTGCAGAGCCACATGGCCACCGTGATGAGCAGAGCTGGCTTTCCTATACCCTGCCGGGTGGGAGGAGGCGGCAAGCCCAGCACACCCCTGAGGTTCACCAGCCCCTGGTCCTTTGCACGGACTCCTTCCTTGCTTGCCCGGAGCAACTCCCTCTGTTCCCTATGCCATTTGTCCTCCAGCATCCATCGTGGAGGTCACCATTTTTGGGAAGCCTAACTCGGAGGCTGGCCGGGTGCCCTCCATCAAGCCCCACGGCGCTGCGTGAATACCACGGGGGCTTGGAGGGCAAGGTCTGCCTGCGTCCCCGCCTTGCCGTTCCCCACCCCCTGGACTTGGCCCTGGAGCACATCAGCCCGCACTGAGCATCCCAGGGTGGATAGAGGAAAGAGAGAGCCCTTTGGGTGAAGGGACTTTGTTTTGTGGCATGGTCCTTTCCTCTATGGATGTGCAATAATTTTTGAGGGATACTGACTTTTAAGAGTTAAAAGTGTTCAAACTTGTAAGAATGAAACAGGTCGGTGGTGTACTAAGCCGACTTCCAAAAATTGAGCTATTCATCCCCCAGATCTGTTTTCCTCTCTCTCTTGCACTCACGGTTACTCCTTAAGTGACTGTTGTTCCAACGTCACCAGCAGTGATTTGTTAGATTTGTGCCTTAGCTTGAGGAGGAAGTAAATCCACGTGTCGGGCAAGACTCATTGGCTCCAGATGTGGATTCAAAGACATGGGGCGCTGGGAGGGTGGGGAGCTGCATGCCCCTTCACTGGGCCGCACGGACGGCAGCCATGGACTGGATTGCTTCATGTGACGAGTGAATGTCGCCTTAAAACACTAAGAGGATCGACCTTTAGTGAATCATATGCTTTTAATATCCTAGGCATGGTGCAGCAGCATGATCAGAATGTCATCCTTTTGTAGAGCAAGAATTCTTCCTCCAAACGCAATGCATTCATTTTTACAAGTTCAGGCTTTGGTGGAACTCGTTCTTCTTAAATAGAAGCCCACCCTTACATCCCCACTGGCCGGACCAGTCACAGTCTGCACCCCCTGACCCAATGCTTTCGGTTTTCTTCCTCCCAGCACCGAAAGAACCAAACACTCTTCTCTTTCATTTGGGCCAACACCGGTCCGTTCATCCTTGTCGCAACTCAAAAGTTGCTTCTCCACATCCCGAAGACCGAAATAGCCGTCGACTGTGTTTACACAAAGCAGAGTTGGGCCAAGAACCTCATCCCCGAAAGTGACTTCCCCCCTCGGTTTGCAGCAAGTTTGAGATTCCGAGTCACAAGGGACCCTTTGGCAGGGAGACGGCGGCAAAGTCCTGCCAAATGCAGCCTCCAAGAGGGGTGGCGGCCCCTGCCACCGAGTCGTGGGGAGCTGGGCTTGCAGCCTGGCCCTCCCGGTGAAGCCACCAGCCCAGAAGCGTCCTGGAGACCCTTTAAAGGGGCCAACAGAAAGGCCTAGACTCTGGCCAGACCTGAAATTAGAACTGAGATTGTGCCCTGGAGCTTCCATGAAACGGGTCTCAATTCCCAGTGAAATCAAAACTGCCTCGGTTCAGGATTGGGAACTTGCTTTTTGTTTTGTAAACATTTCCTTCTGACAGTTGCTCCGGCCAAGAGGTGCTCAGCCCTGTTTCCTTAGGTGATTTAAAACTCAAACTTTGCTTCCAATGCGTTTTGACTTTTTGACTTTCTTTCTGTGGTCAAAATTACTTCTCTTTCTCATACCATTGGTTATATAAACACACACACACACACACACACTCACACACCCAACCCTTTTCTATAATGACTGCATTTTATGTAGTATCTTCACAGAACAGCTATGATAACTTAAAATACTTCCTATTGCCAAGTAAGTAGCCCATGTGAGAAAGATTTTAGACACCAGCCCAACAACAGGTACTCTTGTTTTGGGCTGTCTATAATCCCGAGAGAATGGTGGAAATCTTCAGAGCAGTACAGTTAGTCTGATTTTTTAAAGTTAAAACAAAATCTCCAGGTGGGGATATTTCCAACCCAGAGAAAATAATGCAGTGTGGGCAATAACTGGAAGTTGGAATTTGGTGCCCGGCACCTGGAACCCGGCACCAGGCCCAAGAGCACCCAAGCTTTGGCACAGCACTTGCTTTGCGACTTCCTTTCTAATTAAAGAGAAACCAGTGCCTTTAGCAGGTGAGGAACAACTCCCAGAAGCATGCACTTGAAGGAGGATGAAAAGCAAAGGAAAGTGAAAGACTTATTCTCTCTTTTCCTGCGTGTGATACAGTGCAGGTGATCTGATTCATAGCAATGAGTTATTTAGGTAGCATTCGGGAGGGGAAATGAAGACGGGGAAAGAGTGCTAGGTTGTTGGGGGCCTACTATGACTTCATACATTTTGTCAGCTCAGGAGGTATTTTCATGTGCACAATTTCCATCTGCTCGCCCCATTTCATAGATAATGAAAATGGGTTGAGAGAGGTCAAGAGACTTGTCCGGGCGACTAGGTAGATACAGAGATGGGGACGTCCATGAAGCCCAGGCCTGTGGCTCCCAGTACAATGCTCTTCCTGCAACACCACTTTCTAGATCCTTCTAGGTCCCCTCTTACCATGGGCTCCCGGGTGGAGTTGGCAAGGTCAGGTTCAGCAAGCTGAGAGCACAGGAAAACTCCAGGAGAGGGGACATGTGAGCTCAACTTTTCCTAGTCTTTCTCTTTTTCCCAAACTCCCTACAAAGTTTACTCTCTGTCTTCTTCTTCTTCTCAGACCTGTGACGTTGTATTGGTTCTCTGTGAAAAATGTTTCTTTTGTAACATGACTGCAAAATCTTATACTTTAACCATACCAACATGTGCAAGAGGGCCAGGCACGTAGTAGGTGCTCTGAAAATACAATTTTTTGCTATTGAAACTTTATCACTGCAGGAAACATCATGGATGCATTAGAGGAAGCAAAATCATTTCTTTGTCTGTAATATGGGGTTAAGTTTCTGTGTTAACACTGGAAAGTGGATTGCTTGTGACTTGTTATATCCAGAGATTAAAAATAGCTATTTTCCTTCACATCTGATGAAGAAAGCATGTGTTTTGATTTGGGCTTTAAACGCTGCAGTGAAATTTCTGTTGCAGGACATCAGTGCTTACTTGTTGGAGTTTGGGTAATAGGGCTGGGTGTGATGTTCAGAACAGGAAGCAGGAAGGCAGGCAGGCTGCTGAGAGTGGAGGTGAGAGCAAGACAGGGACCTCACTTTCTATTCAATTACTCTCTAATAGAGGTTTTACTCTTTAAAAAAAAAAAGGATGCAAAAAGCTAGCAATACATTGTGATGCAAATATTTGCAATGCTTGCTTTCTGCCCTTAAAAATACTTCAGAGGAGTGCTTTTTCATAGCCTTCCTGCCGCTGGTCAGATTGAACTTGGGCAACCTTATTTGTAGATTCAAGCTGCTCATTCTTCTGCCCATTCATCCATGTCCCCTCCTCTTCTGCTCTTTACAACCGCTGTCACCACTGTTATGACACAGGGACTGAGTGGGGGTGGCTGTGGAGGACACGCAGTGCTCACCCCGACGCTCAGCTGCTGATTAATGGGGGCCACGGGCCTCCCAGCCCTAGAGACTTCCGTGAGCTGAGGCCTTTTCATTGTGAAAGATAAGGCCGAGTTTAGCAAGAGGAATGGAGACCCGAGCGGGGTCAGAAAGACACATTTTAAAGATAAATCAGGGAGCCACTGCTACACTTACTCGAATCCGTTTGTGGGTGGCTCTTGGCTCCCATACACGGAATACTCCGGTAGGCCCTGCCTTTTGGGGTGATGTATTCTCCCTCCGCCTGTCATTTCCAGATTGAGTCACATTACTCCAGACAACAAGCGTGTTCCACTGTGATGGATGTGGTGGGACCAGAAAAACTTCCAATCCGAGAGTCCCCAGGGAGAGGGCAGGGGGACAGGAAGCCAAAGCAGCATTGTCTCTCGCCCAGAAAGCACGGCAGCAGATGCTGTGCAGTTGGAGCAGTCCCGATTCTTCCAAATGAGGGTAAACGCTCCGTGCTTCTCAGCAGGAGGCAGGGGAGAAAACATCAGTCCTCGGCTGTCAGGAGCACGACGAGGGCGAGATGTGTGTCTATATAAGGGCCTCGGGTGGGTCGCTGACACAGAAATGGGCTGGAGTTTTGCAAGAGGAGCAAGGTGGGCAGGCCAAGGTGCTCTGAGGCCGTGCGGACAGAGCAGCAGCTCTGCTGCACTGTGGCCACCGGAGGCTTGGGTGGTTGGTGGGAGGGGGTCTGCAGAGAGTCCGAGTTAAAGATGCCTTTTAGCAGAGAGTGGCTGTCCGTATCCTCGTACCAAATTGAGTCAGGGTAGCATCCTTTGCTCCTTTCTGCCCTTCTTAGGCTGTGAGACAGAGGAAAGGTGAGCTGTGAGCTGCCTGGGGGCTCTTTGATACCCATTTTCCAAGCCAATCCTGACATAGAGCAGACAGCTTTGAAATACCCTTGACTCACCTATGGCTGGGTTGTGAGTTGTGGGGTGATCACAGGGCTCTCATGTGGTTCTCAATGACCTAGCTCCCAAGATTGGGCTCTGCTGTTGGTTTTCGGTCCCATCTTGTTCTGTCTCACCTTCCCTGAGTTTAAGGTCTGTCTCACACTGTGATGGGCTCTGCTTGCTTGGGTGCAGACGTCTCTCAGGCGACATATGCTCACCTGAGTTGAGATGGCTGCTCACCTGGGGTTCTCCACTGCTTCACTCTGCACCCCTAACCAGGATCTTGCTGTAACTTTTCAGAAACACCAGGGTTGTCCACCTGAGCCTTTCTGGGTAACTCATCTGATATTTTCAAGTTCCTGTGGACCTGGTCTCCCGGCCCCTGTCTATAACTAGTGGTTGGATCTCATCACTTGGTCCACTCTGTCCCCCTCTCTCCTTGCCTGCTCAGGAGGGGGCACAGGACTTGGGGACTGGGCTACTGTGATGGGGCACACAAAATGACAGTCGGTTCATCTAGTTGACGGCACAGAACTTATCCAAGTACAGTGCATACGAGGTCTGCTTTCAAGCACTTTAAATGGATTTAGATATTAAAAAGCAACAGAAAGATGAAAATGAAGTTCAGAATTAGTTGCCAAATACATTTTATAGACGACTGCTGTAAGAACTTGGAGAGGGACTGCGATGACATGGAAGGGCTGAATGTGAAGTTCTGATCTGGGGAAAGAATTCTGGAGGGAGTGAGGAGGGGGTTCTTATCTATGGGCTGAAATGAGTCCTATGTTGAAGCCCTCACCCCCAGTATGTCAGAGTGTGACTGTATTTGGAGATAGGACCTTCAAAGAGGTGATTCAGGTTAAATAAGGTCATGAGGGTGAGCCCCAATCTTGGTTTCCTTGTAAGAATAGGAAATCAGGACAGAGTCGGGCACAGAGAAAGGCCGTGGCTGACCCAGGGAGAAGATGATGGTCTACACGCCAAGGAGAGGCCTTTGGAGATGCAACCACTGACACCTTGATCTTGGACTGCCAGCCTCTGGAACATTTCTGTTGTTGGAGCCACTCAGCCTGTGGCACTTTGCTACAACTGGCCCAGGAAACTTGATGGGGGCTGCGGCGGCCAAAGCAGGATCACGTGGCTGGGAGAAGACCCTTTGCTTGTAGCAGAAAGGTCCCTGGAGCAAGCATGCAGTGAGTCCATAGGTGGCTCCGTGAACAAGTTCCGGAAGCAGACAGACTGCTGGGGACGGGGACAAAGGGCAGAGCACCAGGCAAGAAAGGACACCCTCCCCCGGGTTGGCAGTTTTGCCTGGCGTTTACCTCCTGGTGGATTAACCATTGCTCAATGCCAACAGGCAGCAGCCAGGTTTACTTTATGGGATAAATCAAGGCCTTGAAGGCCCTCAGGCTCTCAAAAGGGAGCATCAACAAAAGAGAAACAACAAAGGCAAGAGACTAAAGATGAAGAGGAAGAAGAGGAGCATTTGCAGGGCTGGGGAAAGACTTCTACACCGTCAGAAAGAGAGAGAGGTGGCAACTGGTAAAAGAGGAGGTGCACCCGCAGAAACTACTCTGACCACCAGCTCTTTCTCTAAAATGTGGCTGCGTATTGTGTTTGTTCCATTCATTTGGAACCAAGAGTATAAGGGCAGAAAGGCAGCAATGCAAGCAGAGGGTAAAAGTTCATGGGGACATGGAGAATGTCCTCACCCTGCTGGCCCCGTCTCCTGTCCTGGGCTCACCGGAGGCTGCGGGGGCCGGAGCTCACCAAACCAGGCTGACACGGGAAGGGGGCAGAGCTGCCGAGGGCAGCCCCATGTCGTCACCCAGAGCTGTGCATGGGAAACAGGATGTCCATGGGGAATGGCACCTTCTGGAGCAAGGGTACTGACTCCGATATCTTTCAGTGCTTGTAAGTTTAGCAAGAAGGGGAGATGGGAGACAGGGAAAAGAAAGGAAAGGTGAAAGGGCAAGGACCAAGGTCAAACAGGGCTCTGGGGAAGGGGGAAGGGAAGGCAAGCTATAGCCCAGTGTCAACCCAAGGCTTCCTTCTGGTGTCCAAGCTGGCCATGGAGTTATTGCTAAATGGCCTGGACATGTCTGGGTCCCTCCATATCAGTTCTGCACCCACCACCATCCTACGCCCTGCCGTGGAGTCTCATCTCTCAACAGGACTGGAGGGAGGAAGGGGAGGAAGACCCTCCAACAAATCGCCAGCTCAGGGACATCTGGCTTTGGCGAAATGCATTTCCCCACAGTAACACCATTTCTATTCTAGTTGGGCAATTTCAGACTTAAAGAAAAAATAGGAAGAGAAGAAAGAAACAGAGAAGGAGGAAGGGGAGGAGGAGGAGGCAGAGAGGAAACCCTATCTTTTGGAAGGTGCCAGTCCCCTCCAGCACCCCTTACTGCAGCCCCTGGCTCTTGTTGGGCTCCAGGCAGGCCCTCAAATGCCCCGGTGTGGGGCGCCATGGTCAGGACGCCTTCCCAAGGAGCCAGTGTGGCCCCAAAGTCTTTGGGGGGCATCTGGGGACCTCCCCTTCAGCAAGTTCCAAGGGTCTGGCAGGATCCGTAGGCTGGCTTTGGTCAAGTGGTGTCTATCAGTTGTTGCTACCCGCAGAGGCGGCCAGACTGTGCTGGGATTTTGCCAATGGGGCAAAGGGCTGAGAAGCCCCGTGGCCACACCAGGCTCCTGCTGCCTGCTCTGCCGGAGACGCCGTGCGCGGGCAGTGGGCGCTCTCCGCCTACCCTGATGCCTGGTCAGGAAGCCACAGTGACATGTGGAGGAGGCCCCACCCCTGAACATAAACCTGCCACTTTATCTAACAACTCACGCAGGTTGGGAATGTTAATTAAGCCAAGTGGAGATATGTCAATGGCACGTTAATAAAAAAGATGTTTGTGTATTGAACCCCAAAAACCATTGCTTAGCATCATCTGCACTATACTGGCAGCTAGGGACGGCACAGATCATGGATGACAAATGATGTCCCGTCGGCTATATAGCGCCCACAGCCTGTTTTCTTCTTCTTTTTTGTGGGGAGGTAGCAGGAGCTTAGAATGTTTTTGGAGGGTTGCCTTCCTCACCCCAAAAAAAGTAAAAAAAAAAAAAAAGAACATGTGGTAGAGATCATCTAGCTCACAATGCCTAAAATATTTACTATCTAGCCATATACAGAAAAGGTTTGCAAATGCCCCATGGACACGAAATAGATTTTTATTTTTTTGGTTCCTCTGGGCACATCCTTCCCCTCCCCCACTTATGACAATGCCTTGGAAAAATGCACGCGTGACTTTTTAACAGATGAACTTGGAACCTGTCCAGCTTGTAAGCCAGGGACTGTCTGTGCCTTTCTGTATTTTTTGTGCCAATTGCAGTGCCGGGCTCAGGAGAGGTCACTTGCTGTTGATGACAATCAGTGGCTATACAATGACCCCCAGGCTGACCAGGAAAAGGAGTGTTTCCCAAAACTCCCTTTGGGACCTCTGTGTTCCTGAGGACATGAAGGTGATGGTCCCTGCTGGCTTTGCCTTACATGTCATGTCACCCTGCGGAGCAAACCCAAGCCGGCTGCCCTGCCTGTCTCCTTGGCTCTGCTGCCGCCTATCTAGGGAGAAAGACCAGAATCGCATGGGTTGGTCTTTCGGCCAGCGACAGAGGCACAGACAAACCTGACTCGGGCCTTAGAGCAGGCCTGTGCTGCCCAGCCACTGGCAGATACAGCAGGAGAGAAGGTGCAGACAGAGCTGGAATTATGGGATGGAGATGAACGAGTGAGATTTGGAGAGCCAAGGCTTGAGAAACGCAGTGGACCTTGGGGACATCGAGGTGTCATGGAAAAAGGAGTTGGAGGCTGGATTTGGGGATACTCAAAGAAATTCTTAAAACTCCACCCCCATCTCTTCCTTCTCTTTTTATGGCACAGGAACGACATGAAGTAGGTGAAGTTATGTGACAAGTACAAGGTGCGACACGGAAGGGTAGAAACAATCAACTCAGCTTGGGATTTTCTGTCTTAAGCTTCCTCTCTGCCACATTTGAACGCACCTACTGTATTCAGGCTTTTGAGCAGGCCAATGCCTTCATTACCTTTTCCTCCCAATACAGTATGAATTTGCTCTGAGATTTCCTACTTAATTAAGTCTGTATTTTTCTTAGTTTAGCAATAATCATTCCCAGCTTATAACGTGGCCACAGTGAATATGATATGGAGAAAAAAATAAAATAATAACTCCTGAGCCACACAAAAAGCAAAGACAATTATTCTGTCTTTTGAAACGAGTTGGCAACCAGCTCTGGGGCAGTTCTTGGATGCTTCTCAGTTGCAGCGAGGCATTGCTAAGCCATCCTGCTTTGAGCAATGACTACGGTAAGCCTTCCCCTCCTGGACACCTGCCCATGCCCCAAACCCTACTACCTTGCTTTTAGGTGGGAGAACCGGTCATCCATGCTGCAGCAGCAAAGCAGAAATGGCATTTTCCTGCGCAGAGGAGACGCCCATTCTCGGCCCCAGCTCCGTGCCATTTGGGTCTGGGGAGCGTGAATGAATGAGCTACCGCGGATGGGAGCCTGGCAACGGGCCGACGTCCTCCGCTGAAATCCTAACTTGCTTTTGTTGGCCCAGCCCCACCACGGTCATCTCCACTCACTCTTCTCGTGGGGGCTCTGGAGGGAGGGCCAGGAGGCCACAGCTGCCATTGCTGTCTGAAGATGGCGGACCCCACCGCAGCCCGGCTCGGCCCTGCTCCCAGCTCAGTCTGTGGACACGGAGCAGGTGCAAACAGTGATCCCGCCGGGCTCGACCGGAGCTGTGTGTGGGTGCTTTCATGGTTACAAGTCCTAGCAGTGCAAAAAGAGATCGGAGTCACCAGCGAGCACACCTCTGATGTCTCTAGATGTCCTGCCTCTGCCTTCTTTTCAGTCACCTGGTTTCTCTGGGGGCGTTAACCTTCCGTCTGCCTTTGCTGACGAGCAGAGCTCTTTCCTTAATTAGTCAGTCCGCAAATATTCATATGCAGAGGCAGCATCATTTTGGCAAGAGGACTTGAGCAGAAGCAGCCCCAGCAGCAATTGAGGATGCTTATCAAGCTGTGATTAAGTAGATGCAATTAAAGAGTGAATGATTACCTGCCCAGGCAAATAGTTCCTAAAATGTTCTCAACTCCCAGGCCATAACCATGAAACCTACCTGGCCAGAGGGTCTGCATGCTGGTTTACTTTGAGGGGTGGGGAAGCTGAGATACTTGGGCATATAGCTTTCACTTGCAAAAGGACATCAAGGACAGGAGCCACAGCTTCCAACTGACATTTCACTTTCAAAGACTGCCTAGGTCTCTAGCTACCCGGAGATCAGCATTCTGAACGCTTTCTCCACCGGGACATCCATAAAATCTACATGCTTGACACATTCTCTGAGATTCCTGCTAAAGTATCTATAACCCATTCTCCTCTTTCCAACTAAAAAAAAATAGTTGGAATACACGTGGGTGAAATTGAGTGATGCTGTATTTGTTCTCATTAAAAAGGATGAACTTCCTAAAAGTGTCCATATTAACTACAGTTGGTAATCAACGACTTCAATACACCACGCAATGTGTTTCCTACCCACAATTGCTGTTGCTGTTCTTGGCCAACGCGGCCTCTTGTGCATTCCCTCATATGCCCATCTTCTCCCAACTTGGCATAATTTGTCCTTCTTGCAAGGCCTTAATAACATTCCAGGCCATTATCCCCTTAAAAAAGTGGTGCAATGTGATAGTTAGAATTGTAGACACCAAACCCTTCCACGGACGACCTGCACTTGAGTTTGGCTGGATTGGAGACATGGCAGCATATTTGCAAAGTGTAATTTGGAGGCAAATCCCAAGGAAACAAATCATTCAACAGGTTTGGGTATAGTTTAGTGCCCTCAGCATAACCAGTCCAAATTGGAGGACTTTTACCCCCACTCTTTGTAAAGCAAGGGCTGTATGGAAAGTGTACCAGCTTAGAATTAGGGAGACCAGGTTTAAATTGTGGTTCCTTCTTGGCCATGGGCAAGTCCTTGACCTCTCCCAACTATCAGATTTTTATTTCTAAAAAAAGGAGGAGCAGAGTTGCTACAAGATTTAGAGACAATGGGTACAAAAATGTCCTGTAGATGCCCAGCACACAGTAGGACCTAACAGAAAAGCCGTAATAGACACACTAAGTGATTACAAGCAGAAGCAGTCTTGGGTAACACATGAGGAAGAAGAAGGGAAGAAAACTGTGATGAGAAAAATGTTTTTCTGAAATCCTTGCAAAAATCTGGGGAAATCTTTGCATAATGAGATTTAAGGTCCCTCTCAATTCATACAATCTGAATTGCAGAATAAACTCAAATTTTGCCTACCCCATAGTGTCCTGTTGAATTTTATGATGTTTAGACAATCCCAAAGCAAATGCTTTTTATAACACATTAGAGAGGCATCTTAACCACTGTTACTCTGGGCAAATTCCTCAAACTCCAAATAGAAGCAGTAAACATGTGAGTATAAATATGACAATCATTTGTTTAACTGCAACAATTTTAGATAGTTTTTGGCATGCTTAAAGGTACAGAGATTTTTGTGGCTAAGTAAAAAGGAACTCAGCTCTCATCTTGTTTATGCCACTTTGACTAAGTTTTGGGTGACGAATATCAATTTCTTACAAAGCTGTCATGTTTATACCCAATATCATGGTATGGGAAAGGAAAAAAATGTTAAAAGTTTGCCTCCCTGGAGAGAGAGAGGCTGAGAAGAGTGCAGTGGCCAATTATTTATGGATAGTTTTACACAGATACAATTGTCATGGTTTTTATCTGATGAGCAAAAGAGTTTTTTAGTTGTTTATTTTGATTAGATGTGGCATTAATGCCAGATTTCCATTGCTCCCAGACTTTCCCAGATCTAAAATTTAAATTTGTCTGTCGAGGTGTTTAAAGATCATTTTGAATATGGGACCATATTTTACTGGAGAAAAACTATTACCATTCTTTCCACGGGACGCTGGGGCAGAGAGTGATTTTCTTATTCAGATCCTAGCAGAAGCTCTTCTCAAACTTAGTTTCCCTAGCCAGGCAGAAGAGAGGCGAGCTTTGCATATTCAAGTTCAAGTTCTTCCTAGATGCCTGTCTTTTGATAGGACACCCACATCTGGTGTTCTAGGACATGCGGAGAGACCAGAAGAGTCTAAAAATCCAGCCAACGTCGCAGTGCTAGAATCCAAGTTCTGAACACAAGGCTGGTATCTGTCTAGGCAACAAGAAGACACTCTTCACAAAGAGACCGAGAAAGCAGTCATTTCTGGTTGGTCCACACACAACCAGTAACAAAACCCAATTCCACATGCAAACACACCCTCCACTGCATTGTGAAAAGAGACTTGCCTTTTAGAAGAATTTAAGGAAATAGTCATTTTGCTGAAAGGGAAGAAGAGAAAGATGTTCAGGCCACTACCCTTGCTGTGAAGATTACATAGCGGCTACAACCTGCTTGGAAATTCTTAGAGGGAATCATCCAAATAGGGGAAAGAGGCCGTGGAAATGGTCAGTAGTTTTAGAACAATGATTCTTGTTGAGAATTATTCCAAAAACATGAATCCTATTTTAAATTCTTACTGTGGGATGATAGGCATATTTTAAATTTTACATAGAGTTACCATCTTCATTATTAGTAACATACAGGTTGAGCATCCCTAATCCGAAAATCTGAAATCAGAAATGCTCCAAAATCTGAACCTGTTTGAGCACCGATGTGATGCCACAAGTGGAAAATTCCACACCTGACCTCATGGGACAGGTCCCAATCAAAACTTTGTTTCATGCATAAAACTATTTAAAATATTATTATATAAAATTACCTTCAGGCTATGTGTATAAGGTGTATATGAAACATAAATAAATTTCGTGTTTAGACTGGGGTCCCATCCCCAAGATATCTCATTAGGTATATGCAAATATTCCAAAATCCAAAACACTTCTGGTCCCAAGCATTTCGGATAAGAGATACTCAACTTGTACTGAGTTATTAAGATTTACCAAAATTTGGTATATGTAAAAGAAAAATAGCATGTTCCCCAAGTTTCCGTGGAAAATAGGAATAGACGAAGTTGAGTGGACCACTGGATCGTTTTCCAGAATAAATGGGTTTCTGTCAAAGAATGTTTGCAAACTCCTGCTTTAGACAGCTCTTTGGTGATCTGTCAGTATCTAACCGAAGCTAAGCGTTAGTATTTTCCAAAGTTCAGGGGGCGCATACTTGAATCCCAAGGCTCATTTCAACATGCCACAGGTGAAGCTCGTTCATTAGGCAACAGTGAAGCAGGTGAGAAGAAATGGAAGCCAATATCTTGCCTTTCAAAGTATTCTAAGCGCTGGATTTTCGTAACAGAGTACTGGAAAAGGTGAGTGATTTCCCAAGAAAAGCCTTGTCAACAAGACTCTAGGGTAGGTTGCCAGCCTGTATCTTAGCACAAAGTTGACACCCACCCCACCCCAACCCACCCCACCCCAACCTCTTGATTTTTAAATATGGTACAGAAGCAGCCCTCCTTCATTTGATCTTGGAGATGTGTAATGGAGTTTTGTCCCTAGGAGTTAAATTGAAAGAAAAAATGACCCTCATGCCTGCTGATCTCTTGGGAAAAGCCACGCTCTCCTGGGCTGGTTCTCTGAACACTCTCCAGACCCGAGGGCAGAGAAGGTGCCTCCGCTACACTCTGAGACGTAACGAGAGCCTCCGCTCTCATCTTTAGCAGATAGGGAGCAGCATCCAGTCCAAGCGCAGCAAAAGGTAAGTCTCACTGTCCCCTTTCACCCAAGCCGAGAAACTGGATGCATCAGAAGTGGCGGAGTTTTAAAAAACTTGCTCTAAAAATAAACATGCCTGGATCTTGGCCACCGTCTTAAAGCTCTTCCTCCCTGGGCCCTCTCCCCATAAATGTCAAATGTGGCTGTCAGTGGGTTTGGCCTGAAAATAAAATCCCCTCACTTCCACCAAGAAATAACTCCAAACTTAGCGTGCGAGCTCAAAATATTCACGATGAAATCATAAATCCTATATTTATAGTCTTTTGGATTGTGCATGACATTCTGTTTCCCATGGCGGTCTTCATCGAGGCGGGCGGAGAGGGTGACCGCATGGGCACTGGCTGCAGGGGGACACTGTCTGGGGTCGTTCAGAACTGGGCGGTGGAGAGACCTCCTCCCTGGTCCCTGCACCCTCCCTGCTGACTGATACGGGGCTCCTCCCCCGCCCCTTCCCCAGGAGGTCCCCCCCATTTGATGGTCCCGAGTCTTGTCCCCCAGGAAGAGTGAGCTGGCCTTCCGAGGAGAAAGTGGGGTGGGTCCCTAAGATCCACCGCTCCCTGTGCACCTGCCCGTCCTAGACCTCCTCCCCGTTTTCACTGAGAGAGATGGTGTGGACCTTGATGGTTGGGACCGGATGGTTCTCTCCAAGGCTGGGCGGGGACGGCCCCACGCAGCAGCACACCTGCAAAAAGCTTTTGCTTCTCACCCGGGCTGTGGTGCAGGCTGACTGGTCTTTGGGTACCGTAATCCTGGCAGATCCCCGGGGCAGGGAAGAGAAAAACTTCCATTCGCAGACCCCGTCGGTCTTGGAGATCTTATAGAAGGTCTCCCCGGAGCCCACGGGGATGCGCACCATGTCCTTGTGCTGCCGCTCCACCGCGTGGCTGGGCGCGTGCAGGGTGTAGCCCGGGGCGTATTTCGAAGACTGCTTTCTGCGGAGACACTGGATTCTCAGCACGTTCTGAAAGGCCTTTTTGAACTCTTGACTGGAGCACGGGTAGATGATGGGGTTGATGCAGCTGTTCAGGTATCCGAGCCAAAATACTATTTTGAAAACCGTTTCCGAGGGCTTGAAATCGGGGAAGAAAGACCCTGGAAGAAAGCACACAGATTCAGACATATTATTTGAAAGCCAACAGGCCAGTTGTCTAGGAAAACAACCAGACAGGCATCTTTTTATATCTTTAGAAAGCTTAAATGATTGCAAATGCACTTGAGTTGTGCACAACGGACTGACTAGCTCCTATGAATGTAACTGCTTCATAACGTCCTCAAAGAGCACTCTTTTTTTAAAATTTATTTTATATTTTATTTCAAGAAAATATGAAAGTACGAACATTTTGGTTGCATTTTATATCGTTGCTCTCCCTAGCAAGGGTAGGAGGTATGCCCTTCCCCTCCACAATGCTCACTGCATCCCTCAGATGTGGGTCTACCCCCACACCCCCGAATGGCTGGTGAACACCACCCCCATTTGAGCACCATAGTGTTGATCAGTCAGTATCAATTTGATGGCAAGTACATGTGGAGCCCATTTTTCTGATTACATGGTGCCTGTGACTGCCATCAATTATGGGCTGCATCAGCTCTCAGGGCTAGAGAGTATTGCTTGATGGCCGCTGTGAAGTGTTCAAAAATGAAAACACGGAATTTAGACTGCGTCTACCTATGCGAATTGTTTTGCCTGCATTTAAAAATAAAATTTAAGTAATTTAAATTTAATTAATCCATATTTAATTAAATTTAGTTAATCCATTTAAATCATCCACATTCATATTCTGTTATCTGAATATACCCTTTATTCTCTGATGCAGTGTTATATAGACGCAGCCTAAATGGTTATGAATTCCTCCCCTCCTGAATATCAGAGTTGGGTGTTTTGATGAGAATCCCAAGTTTACAAAATACTGGCTTTGCCAACTTTTGGCCTGTGGTTTCCCAACCATTCCTCCTAGGTGATACATTTTGCTGTCACGGTGTGCTTCCCCTCTCAGTGTCCCCAGTGGGTCCCAAATGTTTGCCAGTCGCTTCATGTTCAGGGTCCTCCTGCCCTCACCAGCTTTCAACATTCTCGGTTACTGTTCCTTTACTCTAGCCAGACTGAGTGCAAGTTTTCTCCAAGTCACTGGTCATTTCTTTGTCCTCTCAAGTTGGGCCACTGTGTCTTCAATGCCCTCCCCTGTCCTTTTTACCTCCGCAAACCCTACCCCTTGGTCTCACACAGTGGGAATGAGGCCTGGGTCTCTTGCCATCCTGTGCAGGGACTGCCACAGAGCTCTAGCCAGCAGATCAGAACCGTGGAGCCTGGAGGTGGGCACAATCTTAGGGATGATCTTATCCAATTACTCAATTTCCAAATCAAAAAAAATTGCTTATTAAAGAGGTTGGCACCTACTTGATGGCGAGAGTCCCAACAGAGTGATGGATAAAGGGATGTAGTACCCCCAGTCCGTGTTCTTTTTTCCCTGATCCTCAGACTTCCAGCAGTTTTCAGTAAAGTTCGTTTATGAATTATGAAACCCCAAATGTCCCTCCCCAGGCCTTTCAGAGAGATTGCAAGGTAACATCTTGACTTTCCTTTCACCTCTTTTCTTTTCTTTCTTCACTCCTAAACTCCTAATCCTTCTTGTTTGTGTTTTTACGCATTCTATTTTTTTTTTTAAATTTCAGAATATTATGGGGGTACAAATGTTTAGGTTACATATATTGGCTTTGCCTCACCTGAGTCAGAGCTATCGTGTGCCCACCCCCCAGACAGTGCACACCACACCCATCAGGTGTGAGTGTACCTGTCCCCTCCTCCCCGCTCCACCTAATCCTTGTCCCACTGGTTTGTAGTCACAGCTCTGTGTATACTTAGTGGAGTGGCTTTGGGTAAGTCCTATTATCCCTTTGGGCCTCAGTTTTCTTTTCTTGCCTTAAAAAGGAGCAGATTGGATAATTTCTTTTTGTGTGTGTGTGTGTGTGTGTGTGTGTGTGTGTGTGTGTGTGTTTTGGACAGAAACTCTGTCGCCCTGGCTAGAGTGCAGTGACATCATCATAGCTCACAGCAACCTCAAACTCCTGGGCTCAAGCGATCCTCCTGCCTCAGCCTCCCAAATAACTGGGACTACAGGTACACACAATCACGCCCATCTAATTTTTCTATTTGTTTCTAGAGATGAGGGTCTTGCTCTTGTTCAGGGTGGTCTTGAACTCCTGGCCTCAAGTGATCCTCCTGCCTTGGCTTCTCAAAGTGCTGGGATTACAGGTATGAACTGCCAAGTCCGACTTTGCATGGGTAATTTCTAATGGCCCTGCAGAACTTTTCTCTTTGGTTTCAGTCTATGAACTTGATTTTATATCTTTCCTTTCCTCTCTGCTCTACGGACCTATCAGAGTCAGGACAAATTGCTGGTGCTCTTAAAATCCACTGGCAAGCAGTGCTCTGAAATTTAGTAGACGGTCTCATAAACATGAACAAAGAGTAAACTCAAATACTGCAAAACCCAAAGAACAAATGAAATGGTTTGGTGGTCCATGGGAGTGCCCATTAGCACTGAAGCACACGCTCTGTTAAGTTGTCTCGAAGAAAAAACACACACACACACACACACACACACACACACACGATGGAAAAACATGTTAAGTTAGAAAACTTTATTTTTTAGCTTTAAAGCTTTTAACATTTTCCTATAATTATAATGAACTTTATAGTCTTTGCATGCGGGTGCTAGCCAGGCACTGTGCTAGATGCTTTACATGCAATTTGATCATTGTTAGTAACATGAAGAGTTGTATGATTCTTGTCCATATCCCCATTTTACGAATGAAGAAACTGCACTTAATCAAGGTGAATAACTCAACCAAGGTCACTGAGATAGTTACTGGCAGAGCTGGGCTTTCAAATTGGGCAGTCTGCTTTCAGGGCCTGTGCTCCTTTATGGAAATCTCCAAACACATTGGAATAATGCCTCCCTTGGGAGAGAGGATGGCAAGCGGGGAGTGATGAAATGTGCAGTTGGGGGCAGCTGGGTTGGGAAGATGCTTTTTTTTGATCCTCATCTGAGAGGTGGAGAAAATGGTGAATGCCAACATGACTAGTGATTTTGTTGCAAATGTGTTTAGTTTCACCCTCCCAAAAATTCATCTCCCATTATGATGCCCACATATTGTCCAATATTTCTTCCTAACAGTGACAGTGATGTGATTAAAGGAGCCCATTTCACAAAGGCCTGCCTGGGTCTGTGCTTAACGACTGCAAGAACGTATGAGCTGATCACACCAAAAACCACCTCGCCTGGGAGTGCCACCACTCTGCAAATCAGCTAGACAGGTGAGTGTGTTTGCCTTATTTGAAGAATTTCAGTGAAAAAAAAAAGAAAAGAAAAGAATCCCTGCTTGGTGTGGACTGGGGTACCATGGCTGGTGGTTACCGTTGTGAAGTCTGTATGTGAATGCTAAGAGCATCGTCTGAGAGCCTTGGAATCTCCCACAACTCCTTCAAGGACACTCATTCTGCTTGCAGAGCCCAGTTTAGCTCTCATAAATAACATTTCCTTTTAGTCACCTCCTCCTTGCCTTGCTTGGGCCCCATTAATTCCAAGCCTGGCTGACCCAGAGCCAAGCTCTCGGGCTCTCTCCTGATGCAGTCACATTTGCGGAGGGAAGCGCTGGCCCCTCTCCCTCTATCCATCCCACCCCCAAAACACCCAACTCTTCCCTGTGGCTCAGGTACAGGGAGAGAAAGGGGGTTGGTTAAGACTTAATTACACTAAGATCTGACTGTCAGATAGGATCCAGCCTTAACCCTCTAGGGATATTTTCTTGTTAATCCAAGCAAATCTCTAGATGTTGGCTTCTCAGGCCGTGAGTGGGAGATGCTTCTGGGCCAGAGAGCTTCCCATAAATGACAACATGTGGTTTATCCCATTAAGTGTGTGACAGCACACACATGTGTCTAAGCCTAGCACAGCTTTGCCCATTCCAAATCTGACAATCCCACCAGGAGGGCAGGTCACAGGACCCATTTCTCCTGCTTGGGGTGTTCTTCCCGCCTGGGTCGGGGAGTCATGTGATTGTCCTTGAGCAGCTGCTGGCTGGCCGGGGTTAGGAGAGGGACTCGTAGCTGTACTGCCACCAGGAACGTTCCAAAGCATGAGAAAAAATAAGAGAAGGGCTGTTTCTCTCCTTATTTACATTATTCACATCCTCAGATCTCTTCCTTCCTTCCATATTTCTTCTCCTAGGAAGGGGAGATTGGGCTGGAATTAGGCTCGGGAAAGAGCTGCCTGGTCCCAATCATCCTTCTCTGCCAAACCTTCCCATTCGGGCACTTTCTTCTCCCCAACTGCCACTTCTTCTCAGGTCCCTTTCCCGCTGGTGACTGACGATGCTTTTGAGTGTGGGAAGACAGCTGCCGAGGGCTCCTCCCAGGCCTCCTCCCATTGCAGCGGACCAGGGCAGGGTCACTAGGTTGCCACTAGGTTGTGAAGTCCATTCAAGCAGGTACCACGTCAGCTCTGCTCACTCACCCAGCTCCAGAGCCCAGGGAGACGCTGGAGTCTTGAGGGCATTCACTCAGTTTTTGTTGAATGAATGGCTGACCTCCTTGCTGATGGAAAGAATGAATGAATGAGGGCATCTCCTTGTCCTCCCATGGCCTCACTCTTATGCTTGGTTTTCTTCTCTGATAGCTGTAGCCTCACGTTCTCTCCCTGACCCCACCTTCCTTCCATTGTCTCCCTTTTTTGCTGTTTCTGTTCAATCTTCTGGTTTTCTCTGTGATGGTATTTTACTATCATTTCTCCCTTGCTGCATCATTTGGCATCTAACAGTCTAGTTTTCCTTGTCACACTTCCCAGGAAGAGCCAGACTCCTGGATCACCCACATGGGAAGAAGGGGCTCCTACGCCTTGGGTTGCTATGGCTATGCTTTGCTCCTCAACAGCCTCTGCCCAGGCTCTGCTTTGAAAGAAGCCAACAGCTCCAAGCTTACTTCCCTGAACACCTCGCCCTGTAGGTCGGTTCATCCTTTGCATGTGAATTTTGTCTGGATTAATGCTTGGGCTTTGGAAAATCCCCAAACCCTAGGGGCTCTTCCCTTCATTGAG